CTCCGTAGTTTGTGCTGAACGGCTAACACCGGCAAAGCCTGTGCGCCGCAGCCCTTGGTAGAGCTTCGCTTTGCTGTTTCACCGCTTTGTTGTAGCTTGTTGCTTGGTTTGTAGTTTCGCTTGTTTGTAGGGACCGAGTGCTACAGCCGTAGTCGACGAGGCCCAGTCAAGCCAAAAAAATCGTGTGGCATCTGCTTTTTGTGTAAAGAAGGTGTCCGTTCACGTTCTTTTTGTATATTTTTTCGCTTTGTTGGTTTGGGTGTGGAGTTGGAGGTTCGCCGTGTATCTTTGTTCGTCGTCCGTAAGCCTCCACTCTCCCAGTGACAAGATCTTAGATGTGGCTGTTGTGCAATGTTTGGAAACTGGAGCATGGAACAGCCAGCAAGGTCTGGAAGGCCAAAGTTAGAACAACATCAACATGGCAATTGAGAAGCTGGCTTGCAGACAATCATCAGTGCCAGAAAAGCTTTTCTGTTGGCAAACCAACTATTTGGCTGCAGCAACTCTCAGAAAGTATGGACCAAGACAACAGCTTCGAATGCTTCTGCCAGAACTTCAAACTTTTACAAGATCTTGCGAGCTGGCTTTCGAATCTGGCTTCCTTCCTTTTCTTCGACGTTTCCGACATGGACATCCACGTCTGCCGTGCTTCCGACCTTCATCTTCTTGCCAGTCCATTGTTTTCTTGGCCATTGCGCGACCCAGATTGCGGAAAGCGGGGCTTGTGAGTGGCAGTAGCTGTTTCTTGCCATTGCGCGACCCAGAATTGCGGAAAGCGGGGCCTGTAAGTAGCAGCAGCTGCTTCAAATGCTAACAATTAATGCTGAACGACTTTGCCGGCTGATCTGTCTGTCGCAGCCACTTCTTGCTTCTTATAGGGACCGAGCGCAGCAGCCGCTGTCACCGAGGCCCAACCATGCAAAAAAGAAATGTTCTTGCCAGCCCATTAAGTCCGACTTTGAAAAGTTTCTGAAGTAGTGTGATGAGAAGTTTCACTTGCGTTGGAGACGTAAGTTGGATGCCAATGAAACATTGGGACAAGAAGAGAAATTAATTCTCCAGATGCGGAGACGGCACACGAGGAAAAAATGGCTTCACGATCGAATCCGTGCTTTTGAATCTCACCCAGCGCTCGTGCCTGCCGCGATTATTACGCTTTCCTCTGAAAGCATCGTCTGCTCTGAGTTCATGGCTAGAACACTTCAACCATGATTTCCGTCAGACACCATTCTCTGTTTCTTTTCACCCAGAAGACACAAACACAAATGGGTAGTTGTCAAAATTAGAGTCCCTTTTTGGGTACCCAAATATTGGGTGCCGTATTAAAACAGAGATCCAAAAAGGGGCTCTAATTTTGACAGCCACCCAAATGATGTCCAGACATGCAGAAACTGTTTTTTTATGCAGAAATTGTTTTGTTTGCCTTTACACGAATTTCGACCATGTTCTTCCATCGACAATCGACGTGGGAAGTTGCTTCGCTTTGCTTGTTAGCTGTTGCTTTAGTAAGTTCAGTGCAGTGATGTTTGCCGTCAAGACCTTTCTAACGGATTAAGTCTTATTAAGTGCTGAAGCTCCTGCCGTCAGACGGCGCTGTTTCGCCTTCGTACGTTGCTTGTCGTCGTGTCTGCTTGATGTGAATAAGGTCCTGCAGTCGCAGTCATTGAGACAAGTCCTCTAAGCATTACATCGTTAAATCTTTCAATGAAACCTCAGAGGCAGCTGCGTTGTCAGCAAACAACACGAGAATCGGCAAGCTCGTTGGGAGCAAAATCCGAAAGCTTTTCCCGCTTAATTCGAACTTTCAGCTGCTTTGATCCGTCTGTTTATTGCCTGCACAACTTCTTTCGTTGTTCCATCATCGAAAAAGGTGAATGTAAAGAAGAGCTCGAACTCTTTTTCGTGTCTACACGCATTGTCGCGTTCCAGCAATCGTGCTCCGCGGGTGTGCATGGTGATTTCTCGAGTTTGAATTTCATAGATTTGCTGATGTCACGTTTTGCTCGAGCCGATTTAGAAAGATGGAATGGGCATGCCATGGATGCGTGCCTCGAAAGTGGATCGGGCTGATGGCAAACGATATACAGTTCATCGTACCAGTTATTGCCACAGTTTACTAATCAAGGAGTTCGCCTTGCCACACAGGCCATTAGCTCGATTTCCTATGGTTCCATGTAGCACAACACAGCAAGTCTTGCTGACGGCCAGGACGTAGATCGAGTAAAGATCCACTTTTGAGGACAATCACCGCTCCAGAGAATCCCTTGCATCGGTTCCGAAAGCAAGGACTGTGCCCGTCCCATGCATAACATCGTGTCAGAGCTTGGAAGAGCGACACGATAGATCAGCACCAGTGAGTTTCGCTTTGTTTTGTGACATCCCCACCCTGGAAGGTTCTGCGTATGCTTCCCGGACCAGACCAACTACATTAATCGTATTTCTATGGGGAGGGGCTCCAAGGGGGGTAGATAACCTGCTTTAAGGTTCCCTAAAGATCCCTTGTACCCTCCCCCCTAACCACCCTCCCTTAAGGACCCTATAATACGTGATTTCGATGGCACAAGTGTGTACCTACAGTGGACGTCACCAGCTTATGCAGTGCCGCACAAGAAGCTGGCGGAATTTCCATGTCAGAACCTTGTCGCATGACCGCGGAAACATTTTCACCACTTGATGTCACGAAACACATCTTTGCACAGATCTTGGAGATGCGCATATAACTGCGGAGGATGACGGCGACAGGTCTCGGCCTGGCCGCCATGCTCTTGGCACACAGGCTGGGTGCCCCGGAGTTTCCTAACATCGTGCAGATCCATTGGCGACCTTGTGCAAAGCGCTGGGAGGTGAACAGGCTCAGAGCATATGCGTGCGAAGTCGTGAACCTTTTGTGCTGTCCAAGGGGCCCGCTCTCATACGCAAAGATGTCCAAGGCGGGGCAGCAGTGTTCTTGACGTGCATGATTAGCAAAACTGCTGCAGCAGCAGCGACGGAGTTTTTTTCAGACCGGGTATGTTCTATGTTGCGACCCATATGCGATGCATACAATGCAACACTAACAGGAGAGAAAGAGACAGAGAGAGAGAGGGAGACAGTGAGTGAGAGAGAGAGAGAGAGAGAGAGAGCGCGAGAGCGAGCGAGAGCGAGAGCGAGGGAAGGAGGGACGGAGGGAGGGAGAGAGAATAGAGAGAGAGAGAGCACTTGCACGATCGCCGCTGGTGACAGTGTCCTCAGTGGCGAGACTGGCAAACACATGATCTGCGTCGGAAGGAAAGTGACGATCATCCAATCACCAACCCAGGTAGGCACAGCCAAATTCAACAGACAGCACGGGTCTTCGAATAACCAATCGCATACTTTGGCTTTTGATCTTGTACATGTGCTGTGCGAACGCACGGAAATCTCCTTGCCACATGTGCCTCTCCGGTCGTCCGTCAGGGAAACGATCGCCAGTTGTCTACCTCCACAGAGACAACGGCTGCCCCAATGAGCAGGCTCGCGACTGGAGCGCATTGAGAATTCCTTCTGCACCTGCACATGTCTATGACAGAGTCTATGAGTCTACGGTTGGTGGGGTGTGACAGGCCCTGGTGCAGAGGGCACAGATGTAAGCATCTAAGCTTCCGGCATGTGCCTACGACTCTCCGCACTTCGCAGGAACGTGACCGAGGATGGCTCGCCATTTGTTGCGGAGGAGCTTCACTAAACAGCGCCTGCTGTTTTTTTCGTTTGAGGTTGTACTGGTTCATACCCCATTTGGGAGGTAGGGGGGGCGTAAGCAAGGCTTGGGGGTGTATAGCAGCTGTATAGCAAAGCAGGACTTGATCTCCGAAGAGAGTGTCACGCCGACCCTGAGCGAGGTTGGGAAGTGAGCGACTCCAGAGTTTTGATGGAGAAGGGTGTGTTCCGTTCTCAAGCTATGGGGGTGGCTTCAGGAGGCCATGACGCCTCCGTTTCACGGGGAGGGCCCCCGCCCCCACGAAGTCAGGAGCTTATCTATCGTTCCACCAGGCAGTGTCCCACGCACTGTCAAGTTGTATACACGCTGACATCACGGGAGCCGGCATGACTCTATATCAACATTGAAACTCACGGGTGGCAAGCAAACCCATAAGAGGCAGAAGTCTTTGCCTTCGGACCGGGGATGGCGTCAGCCATAAATACATCTGTCCCTCATCTTCCTGGAATTTAGGTGACTAGGAGGCGAAACATTAGGGCCCCCTGATTCTCTCTCTCTCTCTCTCTCTCTCTCTCTCTCTCTCTCTCTCTCTCTCTCTCTCTCTGTTTCAGACAGATGCAGAAACCCTGCTTTCCACGACGATGCAGTTTAAAACGCTTCACACTTCACATTACAGGAGCCAACGGCTCTGCAGCTTGAAGTCTTGATTTCAGAAGGCAGTCTCGAGTTCAGCAAACAGCCCCCTCTATGACTTTCAGGAAGTCCTGTCAGTCTTTACGGCCTCTGTCCCCCGTCTTCTGTTCTCTCCAGCTGATTCCGGCAAGATAAATATCAGTGAGAGGCGCTGGATCTGCAGAGGACAGGCGCACGGCTTCGAGCTGGCGAGAACTCAGACCGACTGGATGTTTGGTGCATGTGGCGCTGTGTGGCTCTGCAGCGCACCGAAGCGTGGTAAGTTGATCATGATCCTGCCTGAAGGGCAGAATGAGTTTCCATCAGCAGCGGTAGAGCGGAGACGTCATCAAATGCGTTCGCTAAGATTCGGACACAGCTTCAGGCCGCTGTTGGTCCAATTGTGAAGGACTCCCTACGAAGATGCTCTGGCGACGCTTCCTGCATGGGATTCTGCGCGGTGCCGGGCCGAATGAGGAACTTCCAGCTTAAAGGCTTTCAAATCACAGGGCATCACGAAGCTGCGGGGAGCTTGTGGAAGTTCTTGTTTGTGGGACTGTCGGTGCAGACGGAAGTGGAAGTTTCGGTTCGCCTCGTCCTAGAGATACACCCATTTTTGGTCTTACAGTGTTTCCCAGTGTCCAGGTATGAAATGCTTCACGTGCTGCGAGCGGCCTCCAGGAGCTGGTTGAGCCGCTTCGGCAAAGAAGCCAAAGCCCAGCTATGCGTGGCCCTGCGAGCCTCCGTGCGAGCAACTGCGAGCCATGCGGTGGCCAAAGTTTCGAGGCCAGATTGAGATCCACTTCGACAGCCTTGAGAAGAGGACTGTGTCGGAAGCCGGTGTCGTTCCGTAGCAGTGTAGCAAGCAGCATGCGTGTATTTTGCTGCTTTGGCGGTTCCCATATCCTGCCACGGCCTACTGCGGCAGTGGGTTTGAGAAGTTGAAGCTTTGATGATCTTGTTGTGCGGAGATGATCTTGTTGCAGCGCATGTCTCGTGCTAGGGCCGTCCCTGTAAAGCGCTTCACTCCGCAGTGGCAGGAGCCCAAGAGTTTTCCAGCACGCCATTGCGGGAGACAGACTTGTCTCTCTCTCTATCCCTCTCCATCCTTCTCTTTCTCTCTTTCTTTCTCTCTCTCTCAGTCTCTTCCTCTCTATCTCTCACTCTCTCTCTAAGTCGTCTGGCTGTTCCGTTCCCTTCTGGAACCTACATTTCATGAATTTCGATTGTGGTGGAGATCACCCATGGGCCCGTTTATTTTGGAGAGGAGGCGCAGAAGTCCTCTGCCAGTTCCAGAAAGAGTCATTGTGTTTTGACACTGCGACGTGCTTCTTCCTTCGGATGGCGGCCCAGGATTGCAGGGTCGTTTTGGTAGGGGCAAGTCTCGCTTTCAGCAAGCTGAGGTTTCAAGCGCAGTCAACGACGGTCTCAACCCTCAAGGCTGGACCCAAATACCGCTGTAGTTCAATAGTATAGACAAATTCACATAGATAAATCGATATGGCATGTTTTGTAAGTACGAGTGATATAGATATGGAAACATTGCAGTACATGCAGTATACCTACAGAGCAAGACAGATAGATCAGATAGTGCACACAAAGACACCATAGCTACACATGAGCTCTGCAAGCAAGCAAGTACAAATTCATGACTAAACGCATAAGCATACATCAACGAGTACATTAGCATCTAGGAGTACGCACTTAATCCAGGCAATGATGTGAATATATCAATCTGTACATGTGCTTATGCACATGCATACAACAAGTGTGTGGGGTCTCCCTAGAATCTACATGAAGGCTTGTCATCTCTTGCGCCGGAACCAACATCAGCATTATGGGTGCAGGGATGAGAATTTGAGTAATGAAGTTTCAACACGTTCTGAAACCTCCAAGAGTTACCGACACGAGGAGATGAAACAGAAAATCTGAAAACATGTTTTAATTGTAGCAGTTGCGACAGTATTAGTAAGCTTGTATGAGCATTGTGTACATGTTCTGCAGAGCGTTTGGTGCCTAGAGCCTTTTTGGAATTCGATGGTAGGAATTTGGAGATATAGACCGGCGCAACATGGCTAGCTAACAATGGCAGACTCCTCATATCCAATCTAATCCTCTTTCTAGCCAACTATTATCCACGTACTCATTAACTGTATGTCAACCGCTCTTTCATTATGTTTAGTCAGAGCTGAAATGGTTCAACACTGGTGGATATTGGTAACTGATCATTGCAGCATGCAGCACAAGCTGTTGAGAGCCATTAGATAATCATCCAAGACGCAGTAGTTAAGCACTGTCTGAAATTTCGAGATGCTGGCTTACTCTTCATTCATCTTTTTGACAGGAGGATCACAATATGTACGAATAGCTAACCATGAATGACGAGCTCAGAAACTGTTACTCGTGTAATCATCCCCAACATTGAATATTTGAACAGTCTTTTGAGGTTAGTGACATGTTCATGAGAGATGCGCCACACATGGGCTTCTGTGTCGCGGAAAGACTGGCCAACTGAAGCTAAATGTGAGTGCTTAGGCTTAAATAGCAGGTATACATGACCTAAATTCCCTTTAAGCCGAAATTGGAATATTGGTTGCTTAGACATTCACTTGCACTGGAATAGTGTTGACCAGTATGTTAATTTCAATCAAGTACTGTCAACATCAAATGTTAGAGAAGCATCCCGTAGCTACTAATCTAAACATGGCTTTCCTTGTGGTTTGCAGGATAAGTTGCACAGTTATGCTTGTATAACCCAACATTCATCGTCAATGAGACATCGAGCAAATGCTTGAACACGTACTAGCTACAAGCTCATGTACAATACTGAAACATTCGGACACTTCTGTTGGCTTACTTTGTGCTTAAAACGTGAAGTCGGTCTTAAGTTCTGAGTTATCTGCGAACCTTTTAACATGATCTTCTGAAGTGATGTGACACTCCGGAATCAATTTGGACAGGTAGTTTTCGTGCATAGGAAAATTTTTCGTACAGCGTACGTGAGTGCATAACATACACGAATCGATGTGATCAATGCCAAAACACTGATTGGTATTTGAAGGTGATATTGTTGGGCGAGCGTGCCTGATTCCACAAGCCTTCCTGCAGGCGCAGTGTAATCAGGATGTGTAGTCGCGCAGCTGCTAGTCGTCAACTGTGCTGATGTACCGGGGCCCAAGCTCCATATCAGCCGGGAACACTTGTAGCTGCCTTTCGATGGTGGTTGGGTCTTGATTCTGACTGGGGCGCTCGCGGAGTACATGGACATCCGCCGCGGGTGCCTTTTGCACAGGCAACGAGAGGCCTAACCCTCAACAGCGATGCACGCTTCGCCATCCAAGTTACGGCGTGACTTTGCTCGATGTTGGGCGAGGAGGAGGCGTTTGCAAGCTCAATTGAACAACTGGTCTTGGCATCAACAGCTTCGAGATTTGTTAACTTCTGGTAGCAACGTTTTCTCCACCTACTTCAAGGCTTGGTTAGACAGTGGCGTGCAGCGAAATTCTGGACGGCAACGGAACCTGCTGCCCGTGCCCTCTGTTACCGAGTGGGGCTTTGACGTGGAATTGCCGAAAGGTGCAGAGTCCGCTGCTTTACTTCTGGTCAATGCGTGTCTGGCCGCACTCAATGTCATGGCCGACGACTTGCGTCCACGGCTCGAAAGTGCACACAGCCGGCAGCGCCCAACCAGGAGCATGTGGCCAAGCGTTGTGCGCGTTTTCTGCGCGAGCTGGACGTCTACTGCAGCGGATGCTTGAAATTGGTGGGGGCTTTCTCGCACTTTGAGACCAAGCTTGCAAACAAGTACCCCACGATGCAGGCAGAGGCTGTGGACGTACCTCTGAAGGCTGGCACTTGTGACCCCTTTGCTTTCATTCAGGACGACTTGGTTCAGGCCATGAGTTCTGCAGGTGGCATAATGGAGTGTTTGCCAGACTTCAGCGATATCAGTGCTCCTTGTGGGGCGCAGAAGGACGAGTATGCGAAGCTTGTGCTGCGACTCCTAGCTTGTGGCAAGTTGCGCTTGCGCCGCGAAGTCAAAGGCTTGGGAGAGGTGTTTTGTGTAAACAAGTCGACGCCCGGCAGGCAGCGCGAGATCTGGAACGGTGCCAAGGTCTCAGCAGCTGCACAGCGCCCTCCTCCTCCCGCCAAGCTGGCGAATCCTTCATGCTTCGTGGACTTGGAGTTTGGGGCTGGCGAGGACATATACATGTCCAAAAGGGACGTCCAAACGTGTTTTGATGTCTTGCAGGCGCCCGAAGCCCTACAACAGTACTTCGGCAGGCCACCGGTGACGCTGGACCAGCTCGCCCGTGCAGGCGCTGCTTCAGTCGATGAGCTTCGGCATTACGTGGTGGATGCTGGAGACAGACCGTTGTCGCCGCACGACATGGTGTATCCAGCGAGCACTGTGTGGCCAATGGGCTTCAGCTGGAGCTCGTGTGTGGCCCAGGCTAGCACTGTTGCTTGCTGTCGCGAAGCAGGCGTGCCAGACTGCGCTTTCATGACTATGGAAGATCCCCCTCCTTGTGGCTGTGAGGCATGTGGCGTGGCTACTGATGACACCTTCTTCATTCACAGGAGCTTGGCCCTCGGACAAGAACGCCTGAAGAAGTTGGACACGGTGTTAGAGGACCGAGGGATGCCCAAGAATGCTGACAAAGACGTCACGCTCGAATCGTCGATGACGGCGCTTGGGTGTGAGCTCACCGTGTCTCCTCCTGCCGCTGAGCCGAACACTGCGAAGTTGGTCACGCTCTTTACTGCACTGCTGGACTTGCTTGTGAGGGGCCGTGCCTCACCGCGAGCCCTCAACAGACTCCTGGGCCTGGTCCAATGGTTCTGCCTCTTGTGCAGACCCATGTTCAGCGTTTTCAGTGCTGTGTATGTTTTCGTGCGAGGCGAGCCAGCCGATCGGGAAGTTGCTTTGCCAGAAGACGTGCGGACTGAGCTGGTTGTGGTTGCCTGCCTCGTGCCACTCATGGGAGCCGACTTGGGCAGAAGCTTCCTGCCCATGCTCACCGCGTGTGATGCTGCACCCGAGTACGGTTTCGGGGTGAGCTACTGGCCCTGTTCCATGCGCACAGTTGCTTCAATCGGGTTGCTGGCAGAAAGACGCGGTGACTACGTGCAGCTTTTTCCGGACCCTGGGGAAGAGCCTTGCAAAGACCGCTTGGGGCAGCCTCATGTGCTGCCCATCAGGAAGGGGCGTTTTCGCATTGCAGTCAGTGCCAAGGCTCGTTGGAAAGCTCACTCAAGCACTCTAGAAGCTCACGGGCTGCTGCTCGCCGCAAAATGGCTTCTGAGGACACCCAAGCATTTCCATCGCCGACTGGTTGTCTTGATAGACGCAAAAGCCATTCTTGGAGCAGCCTGCAAGGGAAGAAGCTCTGCTAGAACTCTGCGTGGTATCATGAGGCAGCTTGGCTCTTTGTTGCTGGCCACGAACTCACTCCTCAGGCTTGTGTACATCCCCTCGGAGCACAACCCGGCTGATGCACCCAGCCGGGGGCGCCGTAAGAGACGGCAATTTCAATTCCGGAAGCGGTCTTACAAATCACACGTGGAGCCACCACTTGTGAGTCGCATGAGGCAGGTGGCTTCAGACGTACAAACTTTGCAAGAAGTGTGGGGCCCATGCTTGTGATGGATTCGGCTGTTCTTACAATTTTGTGGAATTCAAGTCTCGCCTACACTCAGCTGCGGGGCACCGGGAACTACGTGGAGGCAGAGGTTTTTATAGCCTTGGGTCTTCAACCTGTTGATGGCAAAACTGGGTTCTGTGCTTCGCAGAGTGAGTAACCACGGTCTGTGCCTGCCGTGAAGTGCCAGACGGCAGCGCTAGTGTTTAGCGCAGACTTGCGACCTGGAGCTTGGCTACAATCCCGGCTGGAAACAAGTCCTTTTGTTAATGACTACGGCGTTCTCACGCCAGCTGCTTGGTGTTTGGGTGTTATTGCTTCTTTGGATGCCAGAAGGCATGCCTCAGAGGTGCAAGCATTCTCTATCATCAGGCGAGCGAAAATGGGCATGCCGTCAGCAAGGCAACACAAGCGGTGACACCAACAATGAAGGTGATATTGTTGGGCGAGCGTGCCTGATTCCACAAGCCTTCCTGCAGGCGCAGTGTAATCAGGATGTGTAGTCGCGCAGCTGCTAGTCGTCAACTGTGCTGATGTACCGGGGCCCAAGCTCCATATCAGCCGGGAACACTTGTAGCTGCCTTTCGATGGCCCGCCCGGCCCACCCAGGGTGTTATTGCTTCTTTGGATGCCAGAAGGCATGCCTCAGAGGTGCAAGCATTCTCTATCATCAGGCGAGCGAAAATGGGCATGCCGTCAGCAAGGCAACACAAGCGGTGACACCAACAATGTGTTTTTAAGGTTCTTATTGTAGAAGCAAGAGGCTGAAACGATAAAATCACGTCATGTCATGCAAAAATCTAGCTTTGATGCAGTTTTCGGAGGGAGGTTTGCCAGATGTACATATGTCGAATATATACACATGTTTGTATATACATGCTTGCATTCGTATGTATACATTATATATACATATACGGTATATATATATATATATATATACACACATATATCACATATATTTATATGTATATATGTATACATATATATATATATGTATATATACATATACGTATGCATAGCCTTTTGGGCGAGTGTTCCTTGACAGTGTTTTGTCTTTGTATGGATTCTTGTACATAAAGGTTTAAGATATTTCACAGCTCGTTTTTCTCCCCAATTGCAACGGTGGGCCAGTGAGCTGTCTTAGGATCTTCCAATGAGAAATGCATGCTTTATTCTAGCGACTTTGACTGTTTTCAGAGAAGGGCGAACTTTCTATTGCGATCAGAGGAGCTCTGTGGTCTTTCTTTAGTTCATCTCCGAGGCTCTTTTCGTTCTTTGTAGTCATGGGGAACGATCGGTAGACCCGCAAAACGGCAGTTCCAAAATCCTGGTATTTATGGGGCGATAGTTGCTCCGAGCTTGGGGATAGGCGGGAAACTTTGATGCCCGTCGAGGGTGCCGGCTTTAGGAGTTTGTGGTATCTTTGATTTGAAAATATATTTGCATTTGAGGTTAAAATTTCCAGAATCCTGGTATCTGTGGGCATGGTTGTTCAAATGTCGTCATTGCCGAGCGTTTCTCGGTTTTTGGATCCCAACCGATGCTGTCGCAACCACATACTCTCATGATCCACTCCTTAAACAGAGATTCATACATGCCTCTTTCTCTCTCTCTCTCTCTACATGTATGTATGTATATTATTTCGTGTATATATATACATATATATATATATATACATATATATATGTAAGTCAGTAAGCCAGTAAGGTTGCAATTAAGAAAGTAAGTATGTATGCATGCATTTTCCTGAACAGGAACAATCGACTGAGTTTCAAAATATTAAAATAAGCAACCCTGATTTTGATGGGCTTCGGTCACTCTCAGTACCCCTAGGCCCTCACCTAAACAAGGACCCACCCCCAAATAAAAACATGTGAGAAGGGGAACAACATGTGTTGAGGGCGAAGCGGTGAAACGTCGTTGTTCAAGCAAATGTTGCCACGACGAGTGTGTCTTCGAAGCAGGGTTAGGTTACCGTAGGGCTCAAATTTTGAGCATGCATATGTACAGCTTTTCGTGTATATTAGTATATGTGATCATGTGCGTATATGTATTTCCTCCCTCTCAAACAGTGAAAACTTCGTTGGTCCGGGGTATCGCATTACATCAAGTGAGCGTGAAAGAGACAGAAGCACCTAGGAGCAGCGAGGGAGGCAGGGCGCGGGCTACTTTCCTCCGATGCGCTGTAGAAGAGAGACACTCAGACGGAGAACGAGAGAGTGAGACATAGCTCGACCAACTCAGGCTGTTTTGTTTAAGTTCCGCCGTTCTCTGTTCAGCCTCGTACGTGTCACTCGTCTGATCCCCGAAGCTTGTGCCTGGAGCATCTGCCGCTAAACCTGCAGAAAAAAATATGAACGTACTGGCTGTGGAATGCTTGTTCAACGGACATCAACGGACCACATGCGCTGGGGGTCGCTGGAGTCTTGACCAAACAGCTACCAAAGTTGCATGGAAGGATATCCTCGTTCTTGAGCGCTCGGGTGGCACCATCCTCAGGCAGTGATGGTCGTGTCCGAGGTTAAGGATTTAGGCGTCTTCGGATCTCGACAGGTCGCTCAGGTTTTGGGAAGACTCGGGGGTGTAGCCGTCTAAGCAACCTCCGCCCACAAGGTAGTTGCCAGTGTGAGCGTAGGTTTTCTGATTTCAGGGTTTGGACAGGTGTATTCCTCAACTCTGCGATCAGATAGTCAGCTAAGGGGCGGGGCATGCCCCAAACTGAAGATTGACATAAATAGAAATTTAAATTTATCAGTAAAAAATAGAAATTAGTAAGAAATCAATAAACACATGAATATAGATAAAGAATGAAATAAATAAACACATATATACTATAACAAACACATAAATAAATACATAACTACATACATAAATACAAAAAATAAACGAACATATATATGTATATGTGTACACACATATGTATATATATATATATTTATTTATCTATTAACATATATATATATATATACATACACGTACACATGTATGTTGCGAGCATAACCGGCACTACGCAGCCATGCCCAGCGCTACTCCCGCTTGCCTGCTTGCGCAGTGCTATTTGCACATATACCCAGCCCTGCTCGCCCATACCCGGCCATACTCGCGCATGCGCGCATACTCGCGCATACTTGCATACTCGCGCATACTCGCGCATGCTCGCGACTACTCGCGCATACCTCGCGCTACCCAGGACGCGCAACCTGCAGTCGCGCTGTCCCGCCAACAGTGCAGGCTTTCACAAAGTAATCGCCGCGAAGCTTCTATACAGACAGCAACCGTCCATCCGTTGCGACAGCAGGTGTTGCACAGATAGCGGAACTGACCAGTCTTGTAAACTCGCTGCACAGGCAACATTGAACGTTGAGTGAGGAGCCGATTGAGGTTTCTTAGGTAGCATGGCAAAAGTGAGCCAGAACAATCCCTCAAAGTTTACTCATGGTTTCCGTTCGCATGCCTGCTTAGAAAGTGATAGCCTAGGTTTCGACGTGTGAAGGACATCATGTCGGTTGGGGGGGCAGGGTGGAAGTCGTCAGCAATGCCTCTCAGCAACTTTTGGTGCATTGTGTAGGGGTTGTTGGTCTTCTCGGTCTTCTCGTGTGCATCAGCGCAGTGGCAGCCGCCAGCAGCCCAAAGTAAAGGAAGACACCATGGCCCGGCCAGTCTACAGCTTGGTTGCAAGTTTCAACGACAGACTTGCGAAACATGAGCAACACTTGCGAAGCATGAACAACTCCAGAAGAGGCTTCGAACTTCTGCTTAGTACTTGCCCGGTCACCTGCTTGTTTATCCACCCGGGAAGCACCGCAGTATTTCGGTGTAGCATGTCATGTTCCAGCCAAGTTGTGGTGCGACCAAGGAGTTGCACCTTCCTGTCCAATCGATTCCTGGTGCTCGGGTGCCTTCCAGGCACTGCCCTCGCGTTGCTGTAGATGCAGAGTTGCTTTTGAAAACCGCTGAGCTTTCACTTTACAGATGTACTCATGTCCATTAGGAGTGTTTTATTTAGAACCGTGCTGAAATCGCTGGTGTGTGCCCCCTCAGATTTGGGCATGTTGTCGTCTTGAAGCCGAGGCACAATGCAGGCAAGCCACTTTCCAAGCCAAGCAGCCAGAATGTGTTCTGTGGATTCTGAGGTGTTAATTCGTACACGTAGTGGAGTAGGGGACCTATGCCATCGTCCGTTCGTGGAACAGCACGACGTGGAAGTGTCAAAGCGGGATCGGTTACCGGAATCTTCTCAGAAGCTCAGCTCCGGAGAGGATGGCGCTAGCGGGGCGGTGCTCCTGGTCTGCGATGAGGCAAATTTTTGCAGCCTCAGTGTCGTGGTGTGGTCAGAAGTGAGAGGAGCTCGGGGATTCGCTCTTCGACCGCTGTGTGGAGCTGCCCGTGCCGGGGAGCGCCCGCGAGGCCGAGGCCCTGACGATCCTGAGGCGGGGCCTGTGGTCCGTCCCGTCCCGACACACATCACACCATGTCCGACCGCTCTGTCGAGGTCCCTGATCCAGGCGACCGTGGACTTGGACTCCCTCGGTATGGTGCCTCCTGCCTGCAGGTGTAAGAATTCAGTGCTCCCGCTTGGCTAGTTCTCCACACTTCCATCCCTTTTAGGATCCTCTATAGAAGGGAAGAACTATGTACTCGCTGCCATGTGTGCAGCTTTGAACTCTTCGTCTCTGCCAGCTTCCGTGGCCGAGGCACGGCCGCATTCGGGCCGAGAACACGTGGCTCCAGCACCTTCCCAACGGGGACTGCAAGGTGTTTCTCTTAGTTTCCGTGTTGTAAAGGCAGCATCTGGCAGAATATGTCCCAGAGGACAGAAAACATACACAAGGTCAAGCCGGGAACCCGAAAACCCAAGCGAAAAGAAGACTGCCAGAATGGAAGTCCGCACGTTTTTTTCTCACGTCCCGCAATCTTCGAGCTGCGGCAGCGGCTGCGGTCGCCTCCTGAACACCCAGGCCCAAGCTCCGGCCGTCCCGCGCGCACCGCCCGCGCACCCGATATCGCGCTTCCCCCAATTGCCAGCGCACCCGATATCGCGCTTCCCCCATGCAAGCTCCGGCCGTCCCGCGCGCACCGTCCGCGCACCCGATATCGCGCTTCCCCCCAGCTCCGGCCGTCCCGCGCGCACCGCCCGCGCACCCGATATCGCGCTTCCCCCAAGCTCCGGCCGTCCCGCGCGCACCGCCCGCGCACCCGATATCGCGCTTCCCCAAGCTCCGGCCGTCCCGCACGCACCGCCCGCGCACCCGATATCGCGCTTCCCCGGCCATCCCGCGCGCACCGCCCGCGCACCCGATAACGCGCTTCCCCCAAGCTCCGGCCGTCCCGCGCGCACCGCCCGCGCACTCGATATCGCGCTTCCCCCGCGCAGCCGCCAAGCCTTGCCCTCCCCGCACGCAGTCGTTAAGTCTTGCCCTCCCCCACACACCGTCCGCGCCTTGTCCCCGCCCTCCCGGCCCTCCACCGCGTACCGTCCGCGCACCCGATCCGCGCACCCGACATCAAGGCCCGTGCACCGCTTAGTCTTCTAAAGCTCTTCCGTCAAAACAGGGGCGCGCACCGCCCGCGCACCCGATATCGCGCTTCCCCCATGCAAGCTCCGGCCGTCCCGCGCGCACCGCCCGCGCACCCGATATCGCGCTTCCCCCAAGCTCCGGCCGTCCCGCGCGCACCGCCCGCGCACCCGATATCGCGCTTCCCCCAAGCTCCGGCCGTCCCGCGCGCACCGCCCGCGCACCTGATATCGCGCTTCCCCCAGCCCTTCCCCGCACAGCCGCCAAGCCTTGCATGCCCTCCCCGCACGCAGTCGTTAAGTCTTGCCCTCCCCCACACACCGTCCGCGCCTTGTCCCCGCCCTCCCGGCCCTCCACCGCGTACCGTCCGCGCACCCGACATCAAGGCCCGTGCACCGCTTAGTCTTCTAAAGCTCTTCCGTCAAAACAGGGCCCGATATCGCGCACCTCGCGTTGGAGCACTAAACGAGAACCCAACCCCAGAGGGGTTTTCGGGAAGAAAGCTGGAGGTTTTGCTGTCTGACTTCGGGGAGTCGCGCAGCCTGGAGGAGCAAGGCGCTGCATGGCTTGAGACGACTGCAGAAGCATCAGAAAGCAAAACACTCAAGCCCAAACCCTCAAAACAAGCTCTAAACCTGCCAAGAGCCGAGCCTACGAGGCAGGGGCCACCCTAAAGCGCCCTCGAACCCTGAGCTTAACCTTGAAGCCTTGCAGGCAGCGATGCCATGTTCGTGGCTCCTGAGCTGGTCGAGGGCCAAAGCACGACGCCCACCCACGCCGGGGTGGCTGGCCGGAGCTATAAGAAGAGTTGGGTCTCATGGTGACGGCTACAGCTAGCAATCTCACGTTCTGCGGTTATTAGTATTGCCGTTATTGCTTTTGAGTGTGAACGCAGATAGCGTGCGACTGATAGCGTTGGATTGTCACCGCAGCACTACTTGCATGTGTAGCATGTGTATTTCTTGCTAGTGTTGATTTTTAGTTTCTCTCGGCTCCTCGTACTTTTGTCACTATTGTAAGCATAATTGTCAAGGCGGTCTTTTGCGACCGGGTCTAGGTTGTCGCTGAGTTGTTCCTACGTAGTGATGCCGGCTTCGGTCTTTTGCCCTGCGGAATCCGGACAGTTTTTTGGTGGCCTGCGGTTGATTACCAAGGATCTCTTCTCCTGTGGCGTTTTGGGCTACGCATTGGCCATGGGCCGGTATCCGTGGCCTCTCGCCGCATCTCAATCCTTGTGCTAAGACTGGCAAGACTGTGCGAATGTAGATGGTGGTGGTGTGATGGCTCGGTCGTTCTCAGGTTCAGCACTCGGCGCGGGCCCCAGGTCTGCACAGCACACGGCGAGATGTACAGATGCGTGGTGAGTTTTGCACCTGGCTGCTCAGAGCTTGGTTCGCTATGGTCGGAGGCAAAGGAATTGTAAGCTCTAAGAGGCTGCGAGCCAAAACCTCCTTAGAGCTTCGAAACTCTCCCAGCCCACGCCCGACCTAGGCCGGGAAAGTGCAAGACCTTCTCCTTTGCCAAGAGCCATGGGGTGCAGCTTGGATCAGATGAGAGGATATGACAGGTTTCAAAAGGTAGAGACAGGGCACCGTGGCACCGAGAAGAGCCGGGCCGAGGCAGAGCTTGTTGGGCGACCGCCGCTGCCCCGCTTCCAAGGCCGTTTCAACCCAGCCGCCAAACCGCCAAGTCTAGAATTCCAGAATGCGACCGCCGCTGTCTGGAGGAAGGCCGAATGTCATCGGAGTACAAGGCGCGAGCAGCCTGCGCGGCTACGCGGTGCCTGGCGCGGGATCGATGTTTGCAGTTCGTCGGAGTCCGTCCCGAGGAGATCTTGGGCTGCCTTCTCGAGTTGGATCCCGGTGCCTCGGTAGAGTACAGGGATCAGACTTGGTTCATTGGAGAAAAGAGCTCCCAGGCATCAGACGACAGAAGGCCTTGTCCATGCGGGCGACTTTGCCGCAGCTCGGCGAAGACAAGATGCTTTCTGTTGGTGTTTTCGCGGGGAGGGCAGGCATTGTGATGTGCGATCTTGGCTAATTGGTTCCCAGACTGGCAATTTCACCGACATCTATCCTCCCTTCATCTGACCGGAGTTCCCATACAACCGTCACCCTGAACGGGGAAGTGTCGCCAGAAGGGTAGATGGGCAGCCGGTCATGAGATCTGTTGCTGTAGGGCCCAATCCCTACTTTTGGCAGGTGCACAAATCGAGAAGTGTACCGCAGGTGCACAAATCGAGAAGTGTACCACATCTTGTCTGGCAGGTGCATGACCCCTGCTAAGGATGACACGCACAAATCCGAATGGCTCAAGGCTCAAGCCCTATGAAGGGCGCAGCGAGGTGGGTGCGAAAAGCACCTTGGGGCATTGGGGTTTGGGTTGCTTGTTTGAGGGTCCTTGTAGTGCCTTGCTATCTTGCATGCTACTCGATGTACTATGGAGAAGTATGATCATCTAGATGACTTACCTATGCAGATTAGAAGGCATCATGCAAGTCCTACTCCTAGTCACTATTCTATTGTTACGAACAGCCCTTCCCCTGAACCAAACACCAGAAATCAACAGGTTATGAGTCCAAACCCTCTCGAAACTACGCATGACACTGCATCATCAACAACAGCATCTGCACCAGCCACTTTGCAAGCAGCGGCAGAACAGCAGCAGCTTGGAGGGCAGGTGACGCTTCAACAGATGACTCGCATTAGCATACCTGCTGAAACGCTGCGAGCCTTTGGAACGAGTATTGGTGAGGATTTGAGTTTTGCGGCTGACATCCAGGCCGCGGTCATAGAGCTTTCTTCTCGCATCCAGTACCGTACTGAAGTTCTCGCTGGGGCAGTGGGAGCGGTTGGGGGATCAGTTGGAGAGTTGCAAGCAGGCTGTCAAGTGCTAACTGCTAGCCTGGATCAGCTTCGGGACGCGGTGGTTAGACAACAAGCTGCAGTGCAATCCCTGGTGGAAGGCCGGGAGAGTGATCGTCGTGATGCGCGCACACAAATCGAGGCGATCAAACATGACCTTAGGAGCTACCTAGAAGAACGAGGTGCAGAGGAGCAGCAGGTCAAGAACAAGCTAGACGAATCCTTGCAGAGAGAGGCGAGCTTACTGGCGAAGGTAGAAGCCCTATCTGGTAGAGTTGCTGAGCTGGATGAGTCTGTGAAATACACTCTGATGAGCATGCAAGAGCATAAGCGCAGATTGGATGCCCAAGAGCGTGAGATTTATGCACCTTTGAAGGGTGAACCCGGGGATCAAGCTTCACTGGCACGAGCGGTGCAAGTCTTGGCTGAAAAGGTCGATCGGGAGCTTGCTGTGTTGACTACGCAGCAGCGTGAACAAGGTGAGGGCCTACACAACAGTTTGGAGCAATTTCGAGCTGATGTGTTACCCAAGGTCCAGACCGAAATAGACAGGCTTGATGAGAGAGTGAGCGCTATCGAGGAAGGCCCTGACAAGTTGGAGGAAGCTCAGCTAGGGGGTACAACTTCGAAGGACTTTCATCGGGATACACAGTCACCTCAATTGCATCCGATGCCCGCACAGAACGATCGCGAGCCAGTGCATTTTGAGCTGACGCCCAACGCTGATCAAGCACCTAGCTTTGGGGTTCAAGATGCCTCTTCCGCTTGGTGGGATCAGACTGGAGAAGAGCCAGAGCTTTGGAGCACGTGGGAACGTGGAAGAACAGAGGTTGATCCTCTCAATCCATGGGGTCTCACTGCTCCTCCACCTGGTCTAGGATCCAGGAGGAGAACATCCTCAGGAAGGTCACCGAGTCCTGGCGCAAGGCCTGGAAATCGGAAGTCGGCACCCGAGATTCCGAACGGAAAGTGGAAATGTTTGACGGATCTTCCAAAGTATCATCAAGAACCAGGGGAACCCTGGGAGCTGGGATTGGGTTTCACAACATGGAAACGACAAATCCTGGCGGTTTGCACGACGGTTGCACCGGAGTTTGCAACCTTCGTTGAGGATCGATTTCACTTGGCACACCAGAGACATGAGAGCCGGATGTCTGGAGCTCCTATTGCTGAGGCCCCAAAGCTTGAAGCATGCTTTGAGACATATGAGGCTCGATTGGTGGTTAGCTTGATGCGGATTCTTCCAGCAGAGGTCAAAGACAGCGCAGTTGAAGATGCAGAGAACAAGATTACATCACTGTCATTGTTAGAGGAGTTGGTGCATCAAGTTCAACCTGGAGGCCAAGAAGAAGTTGCAAGTTTGTTGCGATACATGCGCAACCTTGACCCAGCCCAATCAGCTAGAGATGCTTTGGAGAGTATCCGTAGGTGGAAGCTAGCCAGATTGCGCGCAGCAGCTTTGAATCTTCCCAGCACAGCCCCGTCTGAAGCGATGAGAGCTCTATGTACACTAGTAAAGCACATTGAGAAGCGAAGCGATTCATTACGTACCAGGATGAGTCTCATCAAGCTGTCTCCGGACATCCAGCGTCCCACGGAACTAGGAGTTCAGATGATCCTCGAAACGTTGGATAAGGAATTGCGTCAGCTTGCAGCTGACGAACAGCTGAAGGCAAACAAGAATGAGCAACAGTCTTCGGTGTTAGCCAAGGGCAAAGGAAAGGACAAAGGAGGCAAAGGAAAGGACAAAGGAGGCAAGGGAAAGGACAAAGGAAAGAGCAGCGCAAATCAGGGCAAAGGAGCAGGAGAATCGCAACCCAAGGAGTCAAACATTGATGCAAGGAAGGACAAGCCTTGCAAGTGGTTTTGGGGTGAAGCAGGATGCTATCGGAAAAACTGTCCTTTCTCCCACGACGAGAAACATAAGCCTAAGCCCAAGGCTGCAGCAGCACCTAATGCCACAGCATTGGTTGGAGCAAATGATGATGAAGGACAAAAGGGTAAACCCAAGGCTAAACCAAAGGCCAAGGCCAAGGCGTCAGCAGTGACTTCCATGATCATGATGGCACAAAGCAATCCGGTGAGTGATTTCAGTTCTTCTTCTAGCGATGAGGACAGCTCAGACTTGGAGGCACTGTCAAATGCCGGGACGGTTGCTTCGACTGATAGCACTCAGAGTCTTTTGTCAAGTGAGCATGATCTAGTTGATGAGCTTGCGGATGCTATGCGGGACGCAAGGTTGCACCGAGCAGAGCGGGATCAGCTTTGGCGTTTGCACTTGAATCCGAGGGAGTTCAACACATGGGCTCAGCATTGGGAGCGCGGTGAAGTCATCATGAGCTCTAGGCCTTTTGTGCAAGTCACGGAGGGTAGGGATGTTGCAGTAGGAGTTGCGTGGGCTTTGGAGCGAGCGGAACGAATGCCGGTTCGAGATCTGCTCATTGGGGAAGCGCAGAGTATCGCAGTTGCTTATGATGTTTTGCTGATGTGTGATGATGATGTTGCCAGAAAGGGTTTTGTGGCCTGGCTCGTTGATGAAGATGACCATAATGAGCTTTTCTTGGCTATCGTTGAGGCCCCTCAGCCTCCACGCGTCAGGACCACAGGACCTAGCGTAGCATCAGCTCCATCTGCTGGAGCCCCTCAGTTTGAGCATACAGCGCGCGGCCATCATGACACATTGGTTGAAGCAGCTGCCGCCGACATCACACATGTGTTGCGCATGCCCTTGCAGCAACTGCTAAGCCTTGTGGATTTCTCTGAGGGTTGGATCATCTTTGACACGTATGGAGTAGAGATTCTGCATGACTTGATGTATCTCCATGTAGAAGAGTTCGCCACAGTCCCCGAGCCAGCCAGACGACGGCTCCTCCATCTGCGAGCAAGAATCCTTGAGTTCGAACATAGGTCACAAGCGCAAAAGGTGTGTGCTGTTGGTAATCTGGGTGACGGGTCTAATGTTCTTTTGGATACTGGTGCAAACGAAGTCCTCCGAAAGGCTGCTAAGGCTCCACCTAGATCCATGCCCCTGGAGTTGTTGTTAGCCGACAGTCAGACCATTGAGGCCTCGAGAACCAGGGATGGTGAAGTGATCATTCCAGGAACGGGTCCCGAGGTCATTGCGGGAGTGTGTAGGCTGACAGCTGTTGGATGCAAGTTCGTGTGGAGTGACGAAGGTGCTTGGTTGCAGCTGCCGAAGGATTCTGCTTTCATAGGTGAGTGGGTTCAATTGGAAATTCACGGTGGTTTGCCTTACCTCGACAGGGGTACCTTCATGCGCTTGCGTCCGTTGTTGTCAAAGTGGTGGAAGCAGCATCGAGTGCCGTATGACGCCACGGTGTCCACGGTAGAGGCTGGAGCGTGTGAAGGGGTTGCGC